ATTGGTAGAAAGAGCTTTTGGCAGCAGAGATAGAAGCAGAAAACGAGGAGAGGAGAGATTGAAATTCAAGCAGGTCGTCAGGTCGTTTATATTTACGCCATCTCCTTTCCGACGCTCGCATGGTGGCTCTCATGGCACGGACCGGTTGAGACAGCCACGGAGCCGGAGGGGATTTGCCAGTCCGTCGTGTCGTAAGAGGGCAGAGAGAGTCTAGAGAGGAGGAAAGAGTTGAGAGGAGAGTCTCTGCAGCAGCGTTCGGATGCAAGAGTGAGAAGGATTCAGTTGAAGGGAGAGCTGATAGAACAGAGGATGCCAGCGAGGAGGGAGAGAGGGAGCGAATATTGCGACGAGCCGGTATAGAGTTAGTCAATGAGGGAGGTTTGTTAGTTATAGAGAGTGGAAGGGAGTAAGAGATGAAGAAGTGATCAGACACATGAAGTGGAGTTACAGAGAGGTTAGTGGTAGAGCAGTTTCTAGTAAAGATGTAGTCAAGGTGGTTGCCGGCTTTGTGAGTAGGAGGAGAGGGACTGAGTGACAGAGCAAAGGAAGAAAGTAGATGTAAGAGGTCAGATGACTTCTCTGTCTGGATGTTGAAGTCACCCAGGAGGATGAGCGGAGGTCCATTTTCGGGGAAGTTGGACAGGAGAATGTCCAGTTCTTCCAAGAAATGACCTAAGGAGCCTGGCGGACGGTAGAGGACAACGATGGTTAATTGTACCGGGTGAGTGATTGTTACAGCATGAAATTCAAAGGACAATGGGGTGGATGGTGGTAGAGGGTAGAGAGAAAAGCTCCATTTGGGTGAAATGAGTAGACCTGTGCCACCACCCCTACCAGTGGGCCTGGGAGTGTGGCTGAAGGAGAAGGCGGAGGAGAGAGCGGCTGGGGTGGATGTGTTCTCAGGTGTGATCCAGGTCTCGGTGAGAGCGAGGAAGTCGAGTGACTGCTGGATAGCGAAGCCGGAGATGAAGTCTGCCTTGCGAGTCGCTGACTGGCAGTTCCAGAGACCTCCTGTGACGAGGTGCTGGACATGTGTGGAGCGGGTGGGATAGGAGAGAGACGAGAGGTTACGATAGAGAGTAGATCTAGCCCGAGGCCTGTAGTATCTGCGGGAAGAGATTCGAACAGGCACGCGTAAAGGGGTCAAACACATTATTAAAAATAGCAGAAGAAGGCGCCGCATTCAGCTGCCCCGAAGACTCCCACGAAAGACTCCTTTGTCTTTGTTCTGCTCGTCTTGACTCCCACGAAAGACTCCTTTGTCTTTGTTCTGCTCGTCTTGACTCCCACGAAAGACTCCTTTGTCTTTGTTCTGCTCGTCTTGACTCCCACGAAAGACTCCTTTGTCTTTGTTCTACTCGTCTTCGTGCTGCGAGGATACGCAAACGCTGAAGCTAACGCTGCCCACGATTTCTAGCTAAATACTCCCTCGTTAGTGGAAGTCGGCTGCGGCTGCGCTGGCTGCTCCCCCGTCGTTTAGGAGACAAAAGGTCGATTGGCCTCGACAGAAACTCCTCAAAATGCAAAACACCAATAGCTTGATACCCTAATCAGTGAACAATCACCATGTGGTGTTTTGACAAAATGAGAGTTTAAGGATTCAAGTCTTGTTTGCTTCAGAAGACAAGGCAAAACAGACTTAGATCAGGTCAAAACCTAGCAGAGTTAGGAGGGCACACTGGCAGTTAACTTAATAGTAGAATCTAGAACACAAACTGGCACTAAAAGACTGAAAGAGCTTGAGCAAACTAGCAACCAATATAACTTCAAACAAAGAACTGGCAGTGAGACGACGAAAACTAAAGCAAATCAGCAATCAAATTAACTTAAGACACTAGAATCAACAACAAATTTAGCAGACTAGCTTGGTTTAAAGAAAGAGATACTTAGTCCGATTTCAGGTCGCCTGGATGTCTGGTGGCCTTGTAGAAGAGATGCGAAATGTTCCATGTCGAAGTGTCGCTAAGCAAGACACCTAACCCCTAATTACTCCCCAGGCAAAAATGTGAAAAAGCCATGGGTTTAAAGTGTAACGTAAGTCGCTTTGGATAAAAGCGTCTGCTAAATGACCTGTAATGTAATGTAATGTAATGTAATTAATAGGCCTCATCACAAACATTACAGTAAAAATTCCCTACATGGGGCTTTTATTTTTAAATTATTGGATTGGGTGGGGTGGGGGGTGTAGATAGAGTGATTAGTGACTCCACTAATGAGGTAAGCAGCTGTGAGTCACAGACAGATACTGCAGCGTGTGTGCGAGTAACCACGGCAACGGCGCACCTATTGGATTGGGTGGGGTGGGTGGGGTGTAGATAGAGGGAGGGAGGGTGAGAGGGTGAGGAAGGGAGGGGTGGTGAGGAAGATAGAGATAGAGAAGGAGAGAGAGAGGAGGAGAAATAGACAGACAGACTGACTGATTAACAGTGAGAAGAGGTCAGGGTGGAGGGGGGAGGGGGAGCGAGTGTCTTTATCATATTGGTCTGTTGACAGAAAGCATAGCTGCGTCATGTGACTCCACTAATCAGGTCATAGGAGCAGCTGTGAGTCACAGACAGATCTTGCACCGTGTGAGCGAGTAACCACGGCAACGACGCACCTGTGCTCATTAATGAGCTGCTGGGAAAGGGAAGACACAGGACAGCGAGTTACACAGAATCCACACCTCAAACAAATGACCACCAGCGCAAAACTATAACAGCTATCTAAAAAATACAACATTTTTACGAGACCCAAGACTCTACCGAACGCATGGATGCGTTTTTATGTCTGTCCGGTAATAAATACGGCTCCGGTCGCAGTTGACAAAACGTGTACCTTCTGTATTTTTTGAGAAATATGTCGGCAGATTTGTATTGGAGCCTATGGGGCTTTTGGCAGAGGTTGTGTCACTCTAACACTTCTTAAGCCAAAACTAAAGAACTCTGGGATTCTATGAACACATAAATCCAATCAGCACAACCATGCCCTCATTAATCTGAAGAAATGAAGCATCAAAAGTGTATGCTTTGGCTGTAAGGACAGAAGTTCCATATTTTTTTAACCAGATTCTGGCGCTGCCTCACACTCTAAGATCTCCGGGTCTCACTCTAGCAGACGCAATACACACTCATGTAAAAGTCAGAAACGGAGCGAAGAACTAGATAAACATAATCAGTTATTATGAAAAAAGTACAATAGATATCAACAAGCAGTTCTTTTCATAAAATAGATGAGACTTGTGTCAACATTTGAAAGTTTAAATGGTGTCTGTAGCTGAAAGATTTGCGAAGCTGAAAAATCTAAAAGTTGAAGCAGTTTAAGAGGATTTGAAAACAATCTCCATTGGAAAACCATGTTAAAATATTAATGATAATTGATTTATATGAATTCAAGCATGAGAGGTAGAAAGCTGAAAAGCTATAGCCCGGAAGCCGGAAAGAAGCTGAACATTTTAATATTTGAACGGTTTTAATAGTTGAAAGTGTGAAGGAGTTAAAAGGTGCCACGGAAGAAATAGAATAATAAGCTGAGATGAATAAAAAGAGGTTTAAAATTGTTTGTAGTAATATTAGTAGTAGTATTAGTTATAGTTGTAATTGTGGTATTAGTAGTACTAGCTGTAGAAGTAGGTTTAGTATCAATAGCAGTAGAAACAGCTGTAATACTAACACTATTAGCCATAGTAGTATTTGTAATAACATTAGTAGTAGTTGTAGTATTAATAGCAGTAGAAATACTAGTAGTATGGTAGTAGAAGTATCAGTTGTGGTACTACTAGAAGTACTAGTAACATGCTTAGTGGTTGTAGTAGTATTTGAAAGAGCAATGCCTATTTCAACGAAACCGCTTCATTCTGAGCTTCATGGTTAAGATACAGATAATCATTGAGGCTTTTATTTTGTAATGATGGAATTGGGTGAGGGGGGGTTGGGAGACTGAATGTTTGTTATTCAAACTAAGAAGTTTTTAATTAATAGGCCTCATCACAAACATTACAGTAAAAATCCCCTCCATGGGGCTTTTATTTTGTAATCATTGGACTGGTGGGATGGGGGGGGGGGGGTGTAGATAGAGGGAGGGAGGGTGAGAGGGTGAGGAAGGGAGGGGTGGTGAGGAAGACATAGAGAGGGAGAAAGAGGAGGAGAATTAGACAGAGAGACTGACTGAGTGAGTGATTGAGAGTGAGAAGAGGTCAGGGTGGAGGGGGGAGGGGAGGGCGAGATTCTTTATCATATTGGTCTGTTGACAGAAAGCATAGCTGCGTCATGTGACTCCACTAATGAGGTCATAGGAGCAGCTGTGAGTCACAGACAGATCTTGCAGCGTGTGTGCGAGTAACCACGGCAACGGTGCCCTTATTGGATTGGGTGGGGTGGGGGTGTGTAGATAGAGGGAGGGAGGGTGAGAGGGTGAGGAAGGGAAGGGTGGTGAGGAAGAGATAGAGAGGGAGAGGGAAGGAGAATTAGACAGACAGACTCGCACAGCATGTGTGCGAGTAACCATGGCAACGGTGCACCTGGGCTTATTAACGAGCTGCTGCAAAGGGCAGACACAGGACAGCGAGTTACACAGAATCCACACCTCAAACAAATGACAACTAGCTCTCTAAAAAATACGCTGTTTGTGCGAGCCCCAAGACTCTACCGAACGCATGGATGTGTTTTTTATGTCTGTCCGGTAAAAAATACGGCTCCTATCGCAGTTGACAAAACGTGTACCTTCTGGATTTTTTGAGAAATATGTCGGCAGATTTGTATTGGAGCCTATGGGGCTTTTGGCAGAGGTTGTGTCACTCTAACACTCCTTAATGCATTCCAACAATAAGTTGAATAAAGATTCGAAGAACAATACTTGGAATGCTTAATGCATTCCAACAATTAAATTAATGTCCAGAATATAGCAGAAAAATAAAACATTTTCTTCACAATTTCCTGAAGCTAAAGTTGTTTGCATTGTATCATTTTGGCGACACCAGCACAGAGAGCCTCCCCACAAACACGTATAAAAAGAGGTCTTACCTGGGAGGTAGAAGTGTGGAGTCTTTAACCCAAACATGGTCCTGGATCACTCCTCCACTGACTGTGAGAAGGAGAGAATCCACAGGAGCAGGGAGGAGAGAGGAGGGGGCGCGCTGTGGCCGGCCGGGTTAAGGAGCTCGTTGTCGGCGTAAGTCATCAGACGGCTCCCTCCTCCGGCACCCTCTGGGCCCTGCGGGTGCGAGGTGTGAGGAGTGGAGAGGTCAGCCTCTGTCTACCTCCCTCCTCTTCGCCCTCTGGATTGAACCTGTGTCGAGCAAGGAGGTGAAAAGGGATCGGAGGGAGATACAGGAGTGCAGCGATAGAGAGAGAGAAGGAGAGGGGAGGGGGGAGAAGAGAATACGCTGCACAAGCTGAGGACGGGTGATAGTGTGCTCATGCCATCTTTGACTAGAGAGCTCGCCTGCGAGGGAGAGCCTGTGGGAGAGTTGGGAGGGTGACAGGAAGGATAGGAAGAGGGGGGAGGGAGTGGAGGAAGGAGAGAGTAGAGAGAAAGAGAGAGTGTTCAGCGTCCTCTCCTCTTTTTTTTTTGGTCCTGCGCTTTGTAATCCCTTCCTTGTTATTCATTCAGTGGCCTCTTGCTCGTTTGCTGTATAATGATCTGTTTTTCTGTGCCTCTGTGTTCTCTTTTCTCCCTCGATTCTTGCTTTATCCTCCCTCCTTTGCCTCAGTCCCACCACTGCCTGCTCAGCTCATCGAGCACAGGAGAGGAGGGGGGAGGGATAGAAAATAGGGAGGGATGGACGAAGGAAGGAAAAAAGAGGGGAGGAGTATTGTAAGACGGATGAGTGAGGGAGAGATGAATGAGTTTGTGTGAGTGTGCGGTGCACCCGTGTTTGTGTGTGTGTGTGTGCGTGTGTCAGTGTGTCTGTGTGTGTGTGTGTGTGTGTTGGTGTGTGTGTGAGTGTGTGTGTGTGTGTGTGTGTGTGTGTGTGTGTGTGTGTGTGTGTGTGTATGTGTGTGTGTTGGTGTGTCTAAAAAGAGATTGAGAGAAAGAGAAAGAGGGAGGAAGAGAGGCGAGAGAGTGTTGATGCAGTTCTCATTATCAGTAGATTGGACTGGTGCCTGAGTGACAGCTGATTCATCATGGTAGAGAGAGGAAGGGAGAGTGAAGGGGAGGAAAGTGATGATACATCTCAATCAATAAAGCATGAAAACATATAAAGGCTCTAATCAGATACAGTAACTGACTGATCCATTTCATTATTCTCCATAGTTTAGAGTGTTATTTCAGTTTAGCAGCAAGTAACACAGCAAAGTAATTTGACTGTGTGCACCAAAAATAGCGTTTATGTGAAATAATCAAAAATCAACTTTCACAGCTGATACTGATGTTCATGGTGAACGCAAACACATGCACTCATGCATTCATCGCACTGTTGTGTGTGTGTGTGTGTGTGTGTGTGTGTGTGTGTGTGTGTGTGTGTGTGTGTGTGTTGAAATGATGGAAGGAGGAAGGAAGAAGAGAGGGGGTTAAAACCTGCCCTTAAGCATTCGCTTCACTCAGATACCCTCCTCTTCTCCTCTCTTTTCGGTCCTCTCCTCATTTTCAACCTCCAGTCCCCTGAAAATCAACAGTCTGCTGCTTTGGATGGCAGACATGCTGCTGCATACCATGATGTGACCGGAATATCCACGTTCCGTCCAATCCACGCGCACGTACACATACACACAGCCTCAAAACCGGTCACGTGATTCCCATTGATTAGACAGGCCTCATATGTCTGACACATCACATTAGCTGGGCTTTCCATCAATTACTGTTCAGTCTTGGCGAGCTAACATCCCATCTAGTGTCACCGAGACCCAATTCTTTTAAAGCCACGTTGGAGCTGTGGGCCAAAACTGCTTCCCCCACACACACACACACACACACACACACACAGCACAGAGACAAGCTGCAACACAGTGGAATGATATCCCGTGTGAGGCAATTTCGTGAGGTTGTTCTGTGGTGTCCTGCTCGTTGGTGGTTTAAAGTCAACGGGCACATTTCACAGCGTCTTTTTGCAGCTCGTGGTTTCTGTGTCCATGGCAGCCCGGAGGAACCCGGCTTCTCTATCAATGTCTGCATCTCAGCACGCGAGCACTCATTTTGTCTCGGCCATTTCCTCTCCCAGCGCCACACAGCGTGCGCTGTTGCATGTGCGCACACATTCACGTCCAAGACCGCAGGTAAGCACAGAAGTCTTTTTAAAATGAATTGTTCCTGTCTCACTTTTTCTCTCTTTGTGTTTGACTTTCCTCTTTTCTTCTTTGTTTTTATTTCACCTCTGAACATTTTCCTCATGCATTGTATTCACTTCTCTCCCTCTTCTCTGTGCGTTGTGACAAGGAAGCGTGCCGGTGATAAGATTGATTGTGAGAGTCTCAAAGCGACACCTATAACCTCGTCTGTCATCATCAATGAAGAGAGACTGTTGCAGGACACACTGGGTATCGACCCACGCACCGATATGAACCCAAAATGCACATGTAGACACGCAGAAGGATGCACATAAGGCATGACCACAGGCCCTCACACACCTGCACGATCACACAGACACATACATTTATTCACAATGACTGATAAACCGCTGTTGAAGCAGTTGTGAAACATCAGCAAAACCACAAACTGACATGGGGGCAGACTGGAGAGAAGAGATAAAGTATACAAAGGAAAGAGGGTGGAGAGGGGTGCTAGAGGGTGTGTGTGTGTGTGTGTGTGCGCGACTGTCTTGTGGGTGGGATGAAGAGCACGGTTCTCATAAAAAGAAAAGAACAATTTTTTTGTTGTAAATTCTTTTGTGATCACATCTGAATCTGAATCATCAATTTGTTATCTATGTCTTTCTTTCTGTATGATCTGCCTGAGCTGTTAACACCCACGCAAATACATCCGCCAACACACCGCAAACACCCCTGACCTCCGAGGTCGAGACGGTCGAGACCCTTTGGCCTCCAGGGGGTCACGCCCTGCCGCACGGAGCTGGGATCATGTGGGTCAAGAAAGGAGGAGGAGGAGCAACAAACACACAGCGTGATGTGTGATGATTACAGACAACAGCCAATAACGAGCGTCCACCTCTGACCTCATTGCCGTGGAAACGTGAGGGAATGTCTGTCACCGAGCGAGCAGTCTACCTCAATGGGAGGGGACAAAGGGAGATGTGGTCAATGAAATACCAGCTTCACCCGTTCCTCAGTTTCCCTTTTTTTTCTCTTATGAGCTCTTGTTCTGTCTTGAACACAGAAGAATACCCGTCCTCTTCCCCACTTCTCCTCCCCTTTGTCCATTAGCTTCTCTATCATTTGCCTGTCTGATGCATGCTGGGGCAGAATAAGGCTGACACGCCGGCCTCAGCAGCAACCCGGGGGCTGCCGTCAGCACTTAAACACTTCTTCTCTGTGCTGCTTCCCCCGGCTCTCTCCAGCAGACATGCAGCCCTCCAGCTGCTGGCCAGTAAAGGAGAAGATGACAAATAAATGGAGAGAAATAGGGGGTGGGGGGAGGGGGTGACCAGAAAAAGCCCCCGCTTTCATCTTTCTCTCCCTCTCATGTGTTCTCCACACAGCCTCCCCTCCTCATCTCAGCCCTAGTGAGGTCACTGACCCCGAGTGAGTGAGCCTCATTACGCAGTCACTCTGTATCCATTCGCATAGCAGGGGGTGTCTATGTGTCTATATATATCTGTGTGTGCACATGTATGTGTTGACTAGACGAAACGTATATTATTTGTCATTGCTTAAATCACTCTGACGGTTCCAGAAAAGAGGGGTGTCGTTGCCAGGGAGGCGCTGCAAGATTAAAAGATGGTGGATCGAGGAAGAGCAGAACGGAGGATAAAGTGATGCGGAGATGAGGCGACGGGTGGTGGGATGTGGAGAGGGTGGATGGGCGGAGGGTGGCTCACGTTGGATCAAAGATAATTGTCAGTGGAAGTCATTATGCACATATTGTATAGAGAAACCCGAGGACGCTTCCTTCAAACGATCCCTCTCATCCTTTCTTCTCTCCTCCATCATCCTCTTGGTGTCTTCCATACCATCGGGGATTTGATTGGACACTGATGGGTTCACTATGCCCTCGAGGGAGAGAGAGAGAGAGAGGGAGAAAAGTGAGCTAAAATTGCGGGGACAGGAATTGTTGGGTACATGAGACTGAATTCACACCACCATCTGCATTAGTCTGTTACAGAAACACTTACAAATGGTCCAAAGGGCAGCACAATCACATTATGACTTGGCCCCCAGAGGCTCAGTAAAAAGACCCCAAACAGCAGTGCTGCCGAGGTTTGGACTGGCGAACTCGGTCGCTGTGTCTTTGTCCACGCCTTTATGTCTTCATGCACACTGTGTACTTGTGATGGTGCAAACAAACGAGGATGAAATGAACCCTGTGTTTCCACAGCGACCCCCCCCACCGTCATCGTCTCCCCAATTGCGGCCCCCGAAGCTCATCACTGGATTCAAGTTGTCTGGTGCCGGTCGGACCGTGAAACTGTCCTGAACACGCCATTCATGCACGCTCACATTGTCACGTGTTACGTGACTGTAACACACGTGAGCCAACGTCCCACCACATGCAGAGCAGCATTGATCAAGGTTGTTAATGGGCCTTGGTCCCAGTGCATCTACACCTCTCTCTCTCTCTCTCTCTCTATGTCTATGTCTATGTCTCTCTCTCATGTTTATCTGTCTGCAAGTATGAGCTGATCACACCGACACATACTGAATGGGAAATTACTCTGCTGGTGTGGCATTCGTAGTTGTGAGAGTTTTTCTGTGGGTGTTCCTCTGTATTTAGTTAAAGCAGTGTGTACATCAGTATATGTCAGTATATGTACACAGTACAACTGATCATTTTAGGCTTGATGTTTCTCTTCATAAGAAAACATTCTTCTACTAAACAACTAAAGGATTTTAAATAATGGTGATGATGGATTGCATTTTACATGTAATTTTTTTAATTGACTGAATATCTTTTGTAACTAGAAAATGCATTTCCTGCTGAAAATGCATTGGAATGCAAAAAGCTGAAAGCTGAAATGAACTTTAGAAAATGACACAAAGTTGAAGGGAATTTGAATACATTTTCTGAAATGACAGATATTAGAAAAGTTGAAATTAATTTGAAATTGCTGAAAATACAGAAATGGGAGAAGCTGAAAGGAATTTCAATAGATTTGCTGAAAAAGCAGAAATGAAAACAGCTGAAATAAATGTGAAATATTGCAAAACAAAACAGAAGTTGCAGGAGCTTAAATGAATTTTAAAAAGTACAGAAATAACCAAAGCTGAGATGAATAAAAAGAGGTTTAAAATTGTTTGTAGTAATATTAGTAGTAGTATTAGTTATAGTTGTAATTGTGGTATTAGTAGTACTAGCAGTAGAAGTCGGTTTAGTATCAATAGCAGTAGAAACAGCTGGAATACTAATACTATTAGCCATAGTAGTATTTGTAATAACATTAGTAGTAGTTGTAGTATTATTAGCAGTAGAAATACTAGTAGTATGGTTGTAGAAGTATGAGTTGTAGTACTAGAAGTACTAGTAATATTCGTAGTGGTTGTAGTAGTATTTGAAAGAGCAATACGTATTTCAACGAAACCGCTTCATGGTTAAGGTACAGATAATCATTGAGGCTTTTATTTTGTAATGATGGAATTGGGTGAGAGGGGGTTGGGA